CTAGTTCGATTCAAATTCGAACTAGCGGAGCGCTAGTGTAGCGCCTATTAAAGTTAGTTCGAACTAACGTCCGTTAGTTCGAACTAACTTTGTAGTGTAGACATACCCTCACAGACTAACATGGCTATCTCGTTGAGGGTCTTAAAGTGTATACTTGTAAATCTTTAAAACTTTTCATTTCATCTTTAGCAATCATCATGATAAATCAAAAAAGAATTTTCTAATAAAGGGCAAGATTGTTGCTTGTCCTAAGTGCCCAAGCAGGAGACACAAGGAGTTGACTCCTTTCTGTCCTTTACATGCACGATGCTATGCAGTATTGTACAATCACCCTTCTCCCCCTTTCAAAGGAGATAGATTGATAGGGCAGGGAATGACAGAAGGCCTTAGTGAGAAGTAAACTACTGCTGGTGTAGATCATTAGCAAATTACTCCTTCTCCTAACCTCTCCCCCTCTCTTCCTCCCCACCACTGCCGCTTTCAAGTGGTCAGCACAGCTATACATTGTGCATTGCTCAGAGCAGAATAGCCCATAATGATTTCAGAGTGTTTCAGAATTCTCAGTAAACATATTAGTGCTTGCTCTCTGTCACTCATTTTTATTTAACATTTATTTGGGCCAGACTTTTCAACAGTGTTTTCCAGTGTTGTCTTCAAGTCATCATTGTCAAGTCCAAGTCGAGTCTCAAGTCACTACAGTTCAAGTCTCAAGATGAGTCTTGAGTACCTAAAGTCACTTTCAAGTCCCAAATCGAGTTTCAAGGCTTAATTTAAAAAATGTCTAGTCACTTTTGTACAAGCCATCAATATCAATAAATAACAATAAGCACTATCTGTTTTCATTTATTAACATAAATCATACTTGCTAACTACTAGGAGATCTGGGGATAGAGTTCTGTGGCTGGGAACAGGGGGGCTGGGGATAGAGTTGCGTGACTGGGGACAGGGGGCTGGAGATAGAGTTTCATGGCTGGGGACGGGGAGTGGGGACAGAGTTCTGTGGCTGGGAACAGGGGGGCTGGGGATAGAGTTGCGTGACTGGGGACAGGGGGCTGGAGATAGAGTTTCATGGCTGGGGACGGGGAGTGGGGACAGAGTTCTGTGGCTGGGAACAGGGGGGCTGGGGATAGAGTTGCGTGACTGGGGACAGGGGGCTGGAGATAGAGTTTCATGGCTGGGGACGGGGAGTGGGGACAGAGTTCTGTGGCTGGGGGGGCTGGAGACAGGGTTCTGTGGCTGGGGGCAGGGGGCTGGCATGTGCCTTCCCTGGGGCCGACCACCTCCGCTCCCCCCACGGTGCGGGAAATCCCTGCGCACGCCTCCCGACTCCCCCCTCCTGTGGTGCAGGGAAGCTGCCGTGCTCCTCCTCCAGGGCCGACACCAGGTGTTAGGGGAAAGGGAAGTGGCAGGGAATTTGGTGCCCCATTTAACATGCCATTTTCGGACAATTTTTTCACCAAGTCCATTTAACAAAATTTGCAAGTCTTAAGTCGAGTCTCAAGTCACAAACAATGAACTCGAGTCGAGTCTCAAGTCAAGTCACCTAGGCAACTTAAGTCGGACTCAAGTTCAAGTTGTGGGACTCGAGTTGACAACCCTGGTGTTTTTAGAACCTGAACTTTGAGACCCACATTAGAGACCCTTTAATTAAGAAGTACTATTTACTCCTTGTAATAACAAAAGAGCTAGAGGTCACCAAATGAAATTATCAGGGAGCAGGCTGACCCACCGATAGAAGGGGAAGGGCAAAGGGGTCAGTTGCCCCAGGGCCCAGTGCTTCCAAAGGACCTAGCGGAGGCCAGGATCCTTATCTCAGAGGCAATGGTGGCTGGAGCCCCAGCCCTTTAAATTGCTGCTGGAGCATCACGTGGTGTGTTTTGGGTAACTTTGAGGGCTGGAGGGTGGGGCTGGCATGGTGCATTCTGGGTGGCATTCTGAGGGCCAGCGGCCCCCAGCCCCACATCTTCTGCCCAAGGCTATGCCCCTTACAGGGGCATGGAGCCATCTCCCCCCCACACATCTTGCCCAGGGGCCCTGTAATTCTGTTGGCCCCTATTGTCTGTTTGCAATAGGGATGTTAGATATTGGGTAATTGAATAGTCATGTAATTAAATGAAGTCTTTGCGGTTACCTAACTCTCCGATAATCCCTGGGGACAGGGTTGGCTGCCAGTGGGCTGCCAGTGCACTCCCAGCACCACTCCTGGGGAGCCCCCTGACACTCTATGCTGCTGTTTCTGTGTCAGAGGCAGCAGCATGGGGTGGCAGGCAGACCAGCTGCTTGCCAACCCATGCAGCTGGGGTGGCAACTGGGGGGGATCTGAGCTCCCCGTGCACCCTCTGATGGAGGTAGCAGTTCAGGAGTGGGAGCCGGGAGGTAGCCCTGCAGAGCTGGTGCTGGGGGGAACCAACTTCTAAGCAGGCTCCTCCCAGCACCGTCTCCTGCTTCCCCCTCCTCCACACTTGCTGCCTCTGATAAGAGGAGGAGGGGGAATGTGTGTAGCTGAGAAGATTAACTAAGGTGTATTGGTTAATTATATAGTCAACTATACATTGATATCCCTGTACTTTTTCATTCAATGTACAGTCAATTTGTTGCTAGAGGATGTTGTAAAGGCCAAGGCTATAACAGGTTTTTAAAAAACTATATAACTCCATGGTGGATAGGTCCACCAATGGCTCTTAGCCAGAATGGGCAAGGATGGTGTCCCTAGCCTCTGTTAGCCAGAATTGAGAGTGGCTAACAGGGAATGAATCACTTGACGATTGCCTTTTCTGTTTACTCTCTCTGAAGCAACGAGCATTGGCCACTGTCACAAAACAGGATACTGGACTAGATGGACCTTTGGTCTGACCCAGTCTGACCATCTTGTGTTCTTATAATGAATGTGTTCTTATGAACAATGTGTAGTCCTGTGGCACCTTAGAAACTACTCGTTTTTAAAGTTACAGACTAACACAGCTCCCCCTCCCGAAGGTTCTTATGAGATAGCGATGTAGAAATAGATTTTAAATGAGATATTAATTGCTGTGATTCATCATTGTGGGCTGTATTATTTTTGCTTTCTGTAATCCTAAAGTAAGATATATCCTGACATTGTGAGCAGGGATCTGTATTTGGGATTCCTCTAAGCTATAGTATCCTCTTGTTTTTATGGCACGTTTTCCTCTTCATGGGACTTTTCTGACTTTCTAGTTCTGTTTTGAATTAAAGCAGGTCAGGTGGGTCATCAACATGGAATAGGAAGTTAACAAAGATGAAGGTGGATGATTACGATGCAAGGAAGAGTAAGAGCCAAGAATTGAATTTGAGGATGTGTGAATGTGTAGTACAGAAGTGCAATATAGCAGGAAATTAGAGAGAAGACGTGGACAAAGTGCTGTTCCTGGGAGGAGAAAGAGTAGGATATTGGGTTGGAAGTGACAAGAGTTATAGAAGAGAACCCAGTGCCTCTCCTCTGCAGTCTCTGGAAGATGACTCTAGAGGTATGTCTAGACTACATGGCTCTGTCAATGGTGCCATGAATACTAGTTTACCCGGCATAGGCAAAGAAGCGGGGATTTAAATAATCCCCGCTTCATTAAAATAAACATGACTGCCGCACTTTGCTGATGATCAGGTGATCCGGCACAGCACAGCAGTATAGACGCGGATCTGTTGGCTGGGGAAGCCTTTGCCGACCAATTCCTTATGCCTCATGAAACGAGGTTTACAGGATCAGTTGTAAAAGGCTTCCCCAGCCGACAGATCCGCATCTAGACTGCCGCGCTGTGCCGGATCAGCTGATTGTTGGCACAGCGCGGCTGCCATGTTTATTTTAATGAAGCGGGGATTATTTAAATCCCTGCTTCTTTGCCTATGCCAGGTAAACTAGTTTACATGGCTCCGTCGATGGAGCCATGTAGTCTAGACATACCCTTGGTGAGTAATGGATATAAGGTCTGTTTTGCTTAATACAAATGACATGTACAGAGTCAGATATGAGATTTCTTTCAAACAAACAAAACCCTGTTTCTCTGGTGTACAAAATAAGTATTTACTCAGTCAGGTGGACACTGGACTTACCTTTCCTAGCATTCACAGCAATCTCTGGTTTAATGAACAATAGCACAAGGGTCATTCTGGAGTCAAGATCTCAAAGAAACCAAATTCTCAACATAAGCCCTCTAAACCAGAAGAAATCTTACTGTGGTCTGTAGAGAGCTGGTTAATTATATGGTGCTGGCATTTATTGTTTCCAGCTGCTAAATTATATTAGAAGACAGATGAAACTACATTAACTATTTCCCTCGTGTTGTTTTTCTGTATGTAGGAAGAAATGTTTGTAGTTGTTACAGGGATATAGTATGACATAAGTGGGATGGAAAGTGCACTACATAGTGAAGAATAAGTGGAATTGGTCTTGAAAATAATCTCTTTGCTAAGTTGCAGTCCCCAGTCTGAAAAAGTTTTAAACTGCTGGGCAAAACCAATGTGTTTTTGATCTAGGTTACTGATCCCAGAAACATTTTAAATGTTGATCTTTTGTTTTATGCGTGGCTATATTAATGCTTGTATTAGTTTAAATTTTAATACCATATTTCAGCATAATCCAATACCATCCCTGTTTTTTCAATTTGAATGTTTTTTGGGTTTTTTTTTTGGCTTACCACATTGTATGCATGGTGTATCCATTCACTTTAAATAGAACTATGGCTAAGCCATATTTGGGCAATATTGTCTAGTTGTTACATAGAAATCAGATCAATATAAATAGAAGCTATCCAAAATAATTTTTAGATTTTCTTGGCCAATAATTACAATGTTGCCATTTGAAATAATTTTTCCATATATACGCTTATTATGATGGCAAGGTAAGAGAATTGAAATATTACCTTATTATAATTAGTCATCAGTGTTCAATAATAATTCAAAACTGGGGAGTTTTTTGAGGTATTGATGAGTCAATGAGTGAGTGCCTAAGAGAAGAATTTATCTACATAATGGTCTTCTCTATACAGGTACTACAGAGCGAGTGTGTTTGATCCAGGGAACAGTTGAAGCACTGAACGCGGTTCATGGCTTTATTGCTGAAAAGATTCGTGAAATGCCTCAAAATGTGGCCAAGACAGAACCTGTCAGCATTTTGCAGCCCCAGACCACTGTTAATCCAGACCGCATCAAACAAGTGAGTTTTTGGTTGGGAAAACAGAGGCATATCAGCTGCTTAGAGTTAACTTCTTTTATAAAACGCCTTAAATGTTTAACATGTAAAGGGTTTACATGAAATTGTTTTTGGAGAATGTCAGTAATTTTATTTAAGAATTTTCTGATATACTTTTGCTTACAGTTCTTCTCTATACTCAGTTTTCCCCCAACAGCATTGATATATAATATCTTATAAAGTGAACCACTGTTAGGTAATATGTATCTTTCATAAGCTTCTTTTCTTTATCGTTTCAGGGAGCATATTTTTCTGTGTTACTTCAGATTTAAAATATGGGCCTCTCTGTAAATCATTACGATTTATTGCAGTTCAGGAAAAATTGACCCAATACATTTCCTCACTCTTACGTTGCAAAACAAATTATTTTTAAATTACTGTTTGGGTCATATGTATATTGGAAAAACCTACATCATAAAGCAGATGCTCGCAAATATAAAGATCTTTATTTGTGGGTATTTTCATCTATTTTAATCAATTCCATTTGTATCATCTTTGTATATAGTTTGTATTGGCTTATCTTCAAGTATTATCATCTTTTGAGTAACTGTAAGGTAGTCACAAGTTAAAATGACCAAAAGCCTTCTTTTATTTTATTACATTTTCCCAGAATATTTGGGACTGAGAAAAGACATATCCACAAATAAGGCTCAAACACAATGGCTTAAGTAACTCTAAATTCATAATTTGTTTGGTTTGTTGCTTCTGGAGGAGAGAGAAAATCAAAGAAATGGCAGTTTTCTTCTGTCTATTCTGTACAGTACGATACATTCCTCTTACATAAAGAGTATGATTCAGTTGTTTACAGTAGTTCACGTTAGCTATGTGTAATGATGTTATCTATTTATTTAGTGTGTGTGTGTGTGTGTGTGTGTGTAAGCACCTGCATATATGCATTCAGAAATTGTGGCTGATGGTGTGGTATATTATAAATATTTTATTAGCATGAGTTTGAGATGGCCCCATAGCTCCAGCGTGATTAAACCACTAATTATTTCTACAATTCATTGCAAATGACTGCTGATAAATACCACAAAACCATAAAAATATTTTGAAATGCTGTAGAGAATTAACAAAAAAACATAAAAGTTTTACATATAACTTCCCTTTTAAAGTCAGGTGTCTGAAAATAATAAAATATAATAGATTTTAAATAGCTTTTCTGCATGTTAATACTTGTGTAAGTCCCACGATCTAGCAAGGCTAAAAGCAATCAATATGATCATGAAATATTGGACCAGAAACATGTCAGTGGTACAGAATTAAAGTCTGCCCAACCTGCACCCTAGATTAGTGTAAGGTGATGGTTTTGGTTGGTTGGTTTAGGGTGTTGTTAATATTTTTGTCCCTCTTTCCCCCCTTTATTTAAATTCCATATGTGGGAAAAGAAGCAAACACCTCTATTGCTGTTGATTTGAAAATATGGCAGATCTTTGAGTAGGTTGCGTAGTTTTAAATTTTCAGAATAGTAAAAGTATATCCACGGGAGATGGATTAGTCGGCAGAGTTGCAGATCAGAAAGTCAAACTCCTGATAAATATAATGGGAGGATGGGCCTAAAATGTGAATGTACATAAATATATTTGTATATCAACGTATTACAGTTACAATCAAATTATTTCAAACTTTTATTTTATAGCAGATGGCACCTTTTCATGATAAATCCCTGGACTATAAATATTGACTCATTAATTTAAATCATTAAAATATATGTCTATATTATACACCAAGGAGTGTGATCCCCACACTTTGTTCATAGATAAAAATTGGAATAAAGTAGTCATTCCACTGAAGTAAAAATATTATTTTTAATCTAAAGGTAAAACACATATTTAACAAATTTATAAAGATTATGTAACATTTCACAACAGGCAAATATGAACTAGAAGTCTGTTGACGTTACAAAGTTTAGAAATAAACACGCTCCAACTTTATTGAACCAACCAGAATAAATCAAAACATGAACTATAAGAGCTTTGTGATGATAAACCATATGAATTATTATTATTATTTATTTTATTTATTAAGTTGTACAAATTTCTATATTGCCATAATAATATGTGGGTGCATTTTACATGGCTTAAATGTAAAAATATTACCCAGGCATATGCTTTAAATATCCCATAAAAGCTCCATTCCCTCTGCACTACAGTACAACCTGCTGATACAGGGCAGGAATGAAGGAAAATCTGTAGGCTTAATGCTTGGGTTTACAGAGTTGAGAATTAGAAAAACACTTGAGTAAAAAAAATTCACACTCAGTATTGTTTTCTGAATGCAACTTATCTTGCTATTCTCAAGCCTCACTTAAGATAGGCTCAAGCTTTCTGACAAATTGCAGGTGGTATGGTGGGATAAGAGAGGGCGTCCTTTGACTAGTTGGATGCTAAGCTCTTTAGAGCTTTGTAAATAGCATTGAATACCTTGAATTTCACCAGAAAATTGACTGACATCTTTTGTAGAGTTTGAAGATTGGTGTGGATTGTTGTTCTTGCCGGTCTGTCTTGTTCAGAAGATGTATGATTACTTTCTGTGCTTGCTGAACCTTCCATTTCCAGGTAGAAGGTGCTGCAGTAGCTTATCCAAGAGGCAGTAAAGTTACTAATGGCAATTGCAGATTCTGAACGTGGGAGGGAAGAATGAAGTCTTCTGGCCAGCCAAAGATGGGGGGGAAAAAAGTTGTTTCCAGCTTCTCTTGTTACCTGAAAATCCAGGACAAGTGTATTAAAAATATAAGAGCCTAGAATTAATTTAATATGCCATTTTCAGCCCATTTGATATAGTGATCTTGTTTAGATACCCAGTTTTGGGTTCCAAATTTTAGTCTCTGACTTTTTAAAATCTCTACTCCTGAGTCTATTACCAGAGTGTTTAACACTGAGTGCCTAAACTCAGGTTCTTAAACACATATTTATGTCCCTAAATAAAAGTGATCTGATTTTGAGATTTACTGAGCATCAATGAATTCCACTGAAGACAATGGGAGATACTCTTCCTCTTTCAAAAGTGGGCTACTTTTATTCTAGTTTCTAAACATGGATTTAGGATCCTGATTTAGGTATGAAAATGTCAGCTTAAATCCAGGAAGAGACATTTTGGTAATACCAAGGCAGGCTCTTTCAAATCATAGTGTATATGTAGACTTTGCATAAACCTTAAAAAGATTCTCTGCATCAGTCAACATCTCGTCTTTAATTAGCCATATAGATCTTCAGCCCACTGGCTGTAACCAGATTTCCATATCTGCAGTAAATGAGAATCTAATGAAATAGCTCCATCTTTGGTCAAATGAGAAGTAGGGTTAGAAGGGACCCCAATCAGAGACATTGCCTCCATTTCTCAGGGAGATGCTCGACCCCTGCTATAATCCCACTCCCTTCCTTGCCCCAATCCCCTCACCTACCCCACCTCTTTTTTGCCTCACCCCACCCTGCCTCTTCACACTCCCACTCCATTCTACCTCCCTCCCTGCCTCTTCCTGCCCTGTTCCTCTCCCTCCTCTCAGCACTTCCTGCATACTACTAAACAGCCATTTGTGGCAAGTGGGAGGAAGAAGAGTTGATCTGCAGGGCTTGCTGGTGGGTGCTGAGCACCCACTATTTTTTCTGTGGATTCTATAGCTCCTGAGCACCCACAAACTTGACTTCTATGACTGCCAGTGTCATCTAGTCTAACTCTCTGCCAAGATGCAGGATTTGTTTTGTCCAAACCATCCAAGACAATATTTATGCAGCACTGATGATTGCAGACAGTCCCACCTCAAGATCTATGTAAGCTTCTCATAATCTCTGAACAGGAGAGACCAGAGTGCCCTTCTGTGACTTCACAGCTGAGATGTCTTAGGGAAGAAGAGGAGTCAAATAGTTACCATCCTCTTGGATGTCTCTGTATGACTAGAACAACTTTAAAGCTGTGCTTCCAACCCTGGCCAAATCTAGCAGCATTTGAAAGCACAACTGATCTTTGTTTATTGCTCTGCGGAGATCATTGACTGGTGAGACTAAAAGCATTTATATGCCATATCTAGGTCTGGAACCTGATTAATTGCCATTCTCTAACTTAGAGGGTGCTGGATGCAGTTAATGTTGGCCCCTCCTACATTCTCAATGATTTTTCTTTAAGAGATTTACTCTTGCTATTACACGATTAGACACCTGGTGAAAGCTGGCAAGAAAATTAATGTCAAGAAATTGTTTCTTAAACACATCACAAAGTCTTATCCCATGTTCTTTTGTGCCTCTTATTTGAGTGGCTCCCTGCTCACATAGGCTGTAGGGTAGCCTATATTGCTATAGCTTAGGTCACACAAGGATGTGAAAAAACACCCTTACGAGTGACATAAATTACACTACTAGAAGCACTCATGTGCATGTCGCAATAGCGACAGGAGAGTTTCTCCCACTTACATAGCTTCTGCCACTTGTGGAGCTGGTTTTTTTTTATTGCCAGCAGGAAGCTATCTGCCACTGGCATAAAGCATCTTCGCCAGACACACTGCTGCAATGCAGCAGTATTGGTACAACTGTTTTGTACGTATAGACATGGCCTTATTCTGTTTTATTGGTATAGCTGGGGTAGGGCATGGGTAAGAGCGGGAGAAGGCTAGATCTGACCATTTCCTTCTATTATTATAGTAGGTTTCAGGGAAGGTGCAGGAGGGGGATGCTAACTCCTGATCTTTTCTTTTATCCTCTTCTCCCACTCCTCCCAGGTTCTGGAGAGGTTTCTGTGCTACAAAATGGCAGCAAGCAATGGTTATGCTCCCTGCCACTTGTTATTTCTAAAGGTATTGTGAGATGCTTTCATTGAGGTGCCATATTAGAGCAGGACTTTCTTTTGTTTTGTGAACAGGGCCCTGGAGGATCATAGACCCTTCCCAGCAGCTGTTGATTTTTTATGATATCTCCTTTGGGCAGCTACTAATCCTCACTTTTACCATGTAAAAGGAGAGCATTTAAAAACCT